AGATGGGGGCAGAGGCAACAGCTGCAGACTTGAATACTGTAGACTGTACTATATTTAGGAAGGCAAGGGAGGTCCAGGGGGCTAGATGGTGGTTTTAACACTATAGGGGAGGAAAACATGTTTGTGTTCCTGACCCTATAGTGTTCCTTTAACTGATGATGGTTCAGGACAATCACCGGAAACATACCCTTGAGGACCGGTGACGGTCCTGAACCGTCATAACGGAAATATTTACTTACATAATCGCTGCCGTTCTCCCAGCGGCAAACAGCATTGCTCCCAGTCTGGGGGGACTGCCTGTCAGCCCAGACAGTCCCCCCTCGGCGAATTAGGCCCCCGTGGCCATGTGATCGCTGTAACAGAGCAGTCACATGGCCGCAATAGGTGCCTGTGCATATGCCTGCAGGGGGAATGCCTGTACTGACAGGCAGTGTCTCTGCTGCTGTAAAATGAAAAAATAAAGTTTAAAAAAAGCAATCAGTGTAGAAAAAAAAAGAGTGCATGTGTGTGTGCATATATATATATATATATATATATATATATATATGTGTGTGTGTGTGTGTGTATAATATACATATATATATATATATATATATATACACACTGCTCAAAAAAATAAAGGGAACACAAAAATAATCCTATATCTGAATTAATTAAATATTGTTATGAAATACTTTGTACTTTACATAGTTGAATGTGCTGACAACAAAATCACACAAAAATAAAAAAATGGAAATCAAATCTTTCAACCCATGGAGGTCTGGATTGTGAGTCACACTCAAAATTAAAGTGGAAAAACACACTACAGGCTGATCCAACTTTGATGTAATGTCCTTAAAACAAGTCAAAATGAGGCTCAGTAGTGTGTGTGGCCTCCACGTGCCTGTATGACCTCCCTACAATGCCTGTGCATGCTCCTGATGAGGTGGCGGATGGTCTCCTGAGGGATCTCCTCCCAGACCTGGACTAAAGCATCTGCCAACTCCTGGACAGTCTGTGGTGCAACGTGACGTTGGTGGATGGAGAGAGACATGATCTCCCAGATGTGCTCAATTGGATTCAGGTCTGGGTAATGAGTGGGCCACTCCATAGCATCAATGCCTTCATCTTGCAGGAACTGTTGACACACTCCAGCCACATGAGGTCTAGCACTGTCTTGCATTAGGAGGAACCCAGGGCCAACCGCATATGGTCTCACAAGGGGTCTGAGGATCTCATCTCAGTACCTAATGGCAGTCAGGCTACCTCTGGCAAGCACATGGAGGGCTATGCGGCCCCCCAAAGAAATGCCACCCCACACCATTACTGACCCACTGCCAAACCAGTCATGCTGGAGGATGTTGCAGGCAGCAGAAAGTTCTCCACTCTGTCACGTCTGTCACATGTCAGCTCTATCACATGTGCTCAGTGAACCTGCTTTCATCTGTGAAGAGCACAGGGCGCCAGTGGTGAATTTGCCAATCTTGGTGTTCTCTGGCAAATGCCAAACGTCCTACACGGTGTTGGGCTGTAAGCACTACCCCCACCTGTGGACGTCGGGCCTTCATACCACACTCATGGAGTCTGTTTCTTCTTGCACAAAGGCAGAGGTAGCGTTCCTACTGCTGGGTTGTTGCCCTCCTCCGGCCTCCTCCACGTCTCCTGATGTACTAGCCTGTCTCCTGGTAGCGTCTCCATGCTCTGGACACTACGCTGACAGACACAGCAAACCTTCTTGCCACAGCTCGCATTGATGTGCCATCCTGGATGAGTTGCACTACCTGAGCCACTTGTGTGGGTTGTAGACTCCGTCTCATGCTACCACTAGAGTGAAAGCACCGACAGCATTCAAAAGTGACCAAAACATCAGCCAGGAACAGGGTCGCCATCAGGGGGTGACAACCGTGACTGTTGTCACGGGCCCGGTGGCCCTGGGGGGCCCGGACTGCTCTGGCAGTCCGGGGCCCCACTTTCCCTTTCTGCACACATAGATAGCGAATATGTTACCGCAGAAGGGGCCCAGGCAGCACACTGCTTCTCCTCTCTTCTCTCTTCTAATAACTCTTGCGAGACCCGCGGAGTGTTGCCATGGTAACCGGGTCTCGCAAGAGTTATTAGAAGAGAGAAGAAGCTGTGTGCTGCCTGGGCCCCCTCTGCGGTAACAGGGAGCCGGGGGGCCCCCCACCGGACCACCACGGATGGAATCTCCCCCCTCCCTGGACACAGGTAAGCAGGGAGAGGGGAGAAACATTTAATTAAATTAATTAAAAAACTTAATGTTAAAATGCCCCTTCCTCCCCCTCCCCCCCAGATCACACATTTACATACACACACTGCATACAATAACACAACAAACACACACACTGCATACACTAACTCAACACACACTGCATACACTAACACAACAAACACACACACTGCATACACTAACTCAACACACACTGCATACACTAACACAACACACACACACACTGCATAAACTAACACAACACACACTGCATACGCTAACACAACACACACTGCATACACTAACACAACACACACACACACACACTGCATACACTAACACACACACACTACACACACAACACACACACTGCATACACTAACACAACACACACTGCATGCACTAACACAACACACACACACATTGCATATACTAACACAACACACACACACTGCATACACTAACATGACACACATTGCATACACTAGCACAACACACACACACTGCATACACTAACACACACACACACACACTGCATACACTAACACAACACACACTGCATATACTAACACAACACACACTTTATATACTAACACAACACACACACACACACTGCATACACTAACACAACACACACTGCATGCACTAATACAACACACACACTGCATACACTAACACAACACACACTGCATACACTAACACACACACACAGCATACACTAACACAACACACGCACACACTGCATACACTAACACAACACACACTGCATACACTAACACAACACACACACACTGCATACACTAACACAACACACACACAAACACACACACTGCATACACTAACATAACACACACTGCATACACTAACACAACACACACACACTGCATTCACTAACACAACACACACGTCATACACTAACACAGAACACACACATGGCATACACTAGCACACACACTGCATACACTAACACAACACACACACACTGCATACACTAACAAAACACACACACACACTGCATACACTAACACACACACTGCATACACTAACACAACACATACTGCATACACTAACACATCACACACACACTGCATACACTAACAAAACACACACACTGCATACACTAACAACACACACACACTGCATACACTAACACAACACACACACACACTGCATGCACTAACACAACACACACACTGCATACCCTAACACAACACACACACACACTGCATACACTAACACAACACACACCCTGCATACACTAACACAACACACACAGTTTAATTTCACAGAAGTGTGATTGACTTGGAGTTACATTGTGTTGTTTAAGTGTTCCCTTTTATTTTTTTGAGCAGTTTATATATTTGTCCAAAGTAGGCAGCAGCACTCACGGATTAAAAGTCCAAAATTTATTAGTACAAAAATGTAAAACACGATCAACGTTTCAGTCCTGCATAGAGGACTTTCATCAGGATCAAACACTGGTTCAACGCAGGCTCAAACACAAAACACAGATGTTTGATCCTGATGAAAGTCCTCTATGCAGGACTGAAACGTTGATCGTCGTTTACATTTTTGAAAGTCCTCTATGCAGGACTGAAACGTTGATCGATAAGTTATTTCGGGGAATAACTGGTGTCCATGAGTCCCTTAATAGGTCTCTAGTTGGTTGCGATAGTCCCTTGACGTACCAGTCTCCCCTTAAAGACACCAATCCACCATCTCCAGACGCTCCTACATTATCAATGGATGATGTTCTCCTTTTGGATATGCCCGAAGGCAAGTTAAAACTGAAGGAGCAGAGAATGATTCCGATTAAGGACAACCATTCTGGGTGCCACGCTTGACTCCTTTACCATGGTAATGAGTACTATCGAAGTCTTCGCTATTCTGATCCTAATTTCATAGGTGTGTCTGGATCTCGGGTAGTGAGCTTTCAGCCGCTATCTGGCCCGGTAGTGAAGCCAGCCTGGGAAATAGTCAAAGGGTTATGGTGCCTTTCCACTGTACCCATCGAATTTCCTTACGAATCGTCGCTGTCAATGATGTAGGAAGGTGTAATCCGCCCAAGGTGGAATCTATTCCGAAGTACAGGAACTGAATCACTTGGGACTGGGATCGAACCGACTCCTCTATGTTCACTATGAATCCCAACAATTCCCGAAACTGTAAACATAAATCTCGTCTGTAAACGTAGTCAGGAATTGGATTTGCAAAAGGTCAGTAAGTCGTCTAGGTATGCGACAGCGGATACCCTTTGCTCTTCAGTGCGCCGTGACCGGCTTCAGAAACTTCACGAGGCACCATGTGAACCAGTAGGTAAGTGCCCTTCAAATCCATCCTTGCGAACCCCTTTCGAGGAGTAGATCCACTAAGAGATGGATACCTTCCTTCTTGAGGTGTCGGTACGCCCCAAAACCATTGGGTTGACGTAGGTTGATGACTGGGCGATAGTCTCCTGTCTTCTTCCTTATTACCAAACCGTTGCTGAGATAAATGGTTCTCCAAACAATAGTCCATCCGCCTGAGGTCCTCGCTCTTTCATCCCTAACTTCAGTAGTTTGAAATCCATCTTTAATCGGACTGCTTAATGCCATTCTGTGCACCTGCCTTCCTTGCGTTCCCCAACCTACATATTGCCCTTTGCACCCATTCCCTCACATCGTGAGTTTCTAGAGGTGAGTCTTGGGTGGGGGTCAGGTCCGCAAAGTATAGAATTTTTTCCAGGGGTTGATCATGTCCAGTATTTTATCCTAACTCGTTTTGAGTCCTTCTCCTACCCCTTCACATGGACCCCAGCCTGATCGGGACATAAATATCACCACAGTGATACCGAATTCCATGGTGAGGACTATCTTGTTCGGTAATAGAGGGCGTGGGCCTTCCACCCTGAGCTTGTCTTGGACTTCTTTTCCCATAGGTCTCCTGAGCCAGGATTGGGCAAAGTGTGCCTGGTGCTCCGGTAAACCCCATTCAGATGACCCTGGGTGTCGGATGGTGCGTGAGTAAAAACAAGAGTGTCCAGTGTGTCAAAGAAAAGCCTTTCTTGCTAGGCAGGTCTTGTCACTTTACCTCTTCAGATGGAGACTCTTCTGCTCTCCATTCTTTCATGATCTCCAGAGAAGGGGGAGGGATGAAGTCCTCATCCCCTGATGATGGAGCCTGAGATGATTAATGGACAGGATGTTCTGGGAGACGGCTCCGCTAGAACGGGGTGTTCCCTTTCCCCTTTGGAGAAGCTGCGTTGGAGCCCTTCCAATGATGTTTAGATGATAAGGTGTCCAACCTAACGTTGTCGGTATCTCTAGCTTCCATTGGTGGTGGTGTCATTGCACCCACCCTATCAGATGGGTTGTTAGCCAGCATATTAGCGAGGAATTCTTCCCCAGAAGCTGCAATGGTGGCCTTAATCCTCACCTGAAAATTGGTCTAGGAAATTGAGGGAAGTCTGACATGTTGGTTCACACTCTTTCGGTCTGTGGGAGACAGGATCGTACAACAGTACACTTATTGCCACTCAGTGGGCCTCCGCATATAACTGTGGTCACCCAGAATTTCGATCAATCAGTACCACTTTCGCAGGATCCGGGGAGTGGTCTGAGAATGAGGACACCCTCAGTAAGACCGGGATGAGCGGTCTGCAATGTTGGGACGTAGCCCGAGTATGGGAGACATGAAAGCCTCAGTATGTATAATCCAAGGGGGTCATCCTTATATGGCCTAGAATTGTGGAGTTTTGGCAGCACTGTGAGTTCTCCTTCTCGGTTAAGGGAAGGGCGTACAGATCCCCCAGTTGAAGCATAGAGGTGCCGGAATACATGCTTCTAGTGTGCCCTGGTCTGTGCATACCATGACAGAGCGTACTCTGAAGGTAGAAGCCCTAGAAAGGGCGCGGGGGTCACCCCATCTGGGCTAGCTTTGGCCAGTGTTTGTGACTAAGTGGCTACTAAAAAAGACTGGAAATACCCCATATTGAAAACCCTGGGTTGTCTACTTTAAAAAAATATGTACATGTGCGGTGTGATTCGGGGAATTATGACAGATAACAGTGTTACAATGTCACTATTTATAAATTTAAAAGATACATGTTTTAAAACAGCAATTTCCTACTTGCGCTTATATCCCTATAACCTGCAAAAAAAAAGCACGGAAACTCAGTAAAAAATTTTGAATCTATTTAGCAGGTTTTTTTTTTTATTAGCTTTTGTAGATAAGTAAAAGATTTTTCAAGTAAAAGTCCAAAAACATGTTTTTGTTTTACATTTTTCACCATATTTTATTAATAAAATATATGACATGATACAGATTATGGTATGTAAAGAAAGCCCTTCTTGTCCTGAAAAAAACCCAATATATAATGTGTATGGGAACAGTAAATGAGAGAGGAAAATGACAGCTAAACACAAACACCACCAAAGTGTTAGAACAGCCCTGGTCCTTAACGTACAACATGGCCAAAACAGTCCAATCTAAGTGACTCAGTCATCACAGAGTAGGCTTTTTATGTTGTAGATCTAAGGCTACACTAGGAGCAGACTGAACCAACTTTCTCCTCCATCATCCACGAGGAAGGCAGCATGCATTCTAAAGTGAGAAGGGGTGGGGCTAGATAGAGACAGCAACTGGCTCAGAATTCATTGCTTTCTGCTGCTCATGGGACCTTGTCTGATAATGAGAAACCTGGGTTGCTCTAAAATCAGCTCACCTCTTCTGGGACCCTAAGTGTTTTCCTACCCCTGATGGATGGCCAAAAGTGGACCCTGAGCCAATATTAAGTGGGTGCACAGTGCCCAGTCACACAGTAGATAGAGGTACATTGGTGGGGTATGCAGTGCTAGGCTCTACCACTCATGTCATGTCCTACCCCTCTCATTAGGCTCCTCCTCTCACAAACATCCCTGGCGGTAGAGGTGGAAGTAAAAGGTTACACGCTTACAAGCTGTTTGAGGACAACTTGGGATGTTGTGTTTAGCTACATTTTCTCAGTACAACAATACCCCCAAAGCATGCAAAGTTATAGAACCCTATATAAGTGACCTGACTATTTCAACATTCAGAATTTTGATAGATGAATTTGATGGGCATAGGTCTCATTTTAGGACATTGTAGCAGTTTGACAGTTCAAATTACCCTGTAATTGCATAGCATTCATGAAAGTAAACACAGGGTATTTCATATGGTATAATTGGAGTGAGAACAGAGTGCGCTAGCGCTGGGTTGTCCTGGGTTGGATAGTCAGCTGCCCTCGGTTTGGTAGAGGACATGCGGATTGGGAAGTTAGTTTGTTCGAATAGGTTGGCCCTTGGGGGGGATTCTCTTTTTGGATGTGAGGTGTGGGCAGGCAGTATTTCCTTTAAGATTTGCAGCTCGAAGACTGATACTTTCGGGAAGGGTAAGTGGGTGCATTTGGCCATGGTCCCTGCGTTGGTCGTTTGCCCCATTTTGTCTTTTCAAGAATATTGTGTGGTTCGCCCTGCCCTGCCTGGCCCTCTATTGGTTCAAGAGGATGGGGGTTTTCTCTCCTACTTTGTCTATTCAGGTTTTTCGTTTTGGGCTTGCTGCATTGGGCTTGGATAGTACTGAGTTTGGAGGTCGCTCATTTCATATTGGCACTGCAATGGAGGCCTCTAGTCTGAGAATGTCTGACTAGGAGGTTCAGAGGATTTGGAGGTGGGATTCTAGGACGTTTGCTTCTTACATGTGCCCTGCTGGTCTGTTGTTTCTCCTCATGTTTGATTTTCCCCCAGGGTCTGGGTGATTGGGCACTCTAATATCTTTTGGGCACAGCGGCGAACCGGACGGATTGTGAGTTCCTTGGACTCATGCCTTCTGCTGCGTTGATTTGTTGGTTTGGTTCCAAGAGCATGAGGTGGGTATGGCTCCTCCCTCAGTTGGTCAAGCTCTCTTGCTAGCTTGGGGTGCCTTCCATGTTGGTCATTCACCCGGGGGGCAATGACCTTGGGATAAATCTGTTTGGAGGTTTGGTGGACATGATTAGGTGGGACTTGTCCCAGATTTTGATCATGTTCCCACTCCTCCTTGTGGGGAGCATTATGGACATGCCCCACTGAGCATAAAGCCAACTGGTGGTGAGTATTAAGGGTAAAAGGGGAATTTTGGTATGACGAGGGGGGAGGTGAGATATTTTGGGATGTGAGGTCATGAGGATGCTTATCTTATCCAGTGCCCACTATGTAAATTCATGGCTAGAACAAAGCATGTTCATCCAATGGGGGCCAGGCCGTGAGTCATCAAGGACCCTTTTTTAGTGTGAAACTGCTTGAAAATGGTTTAATCTAATTGTTATTTATAGTGCCAGCCCAGAATAAAGAGCATAAACGTTTTGAGCTGTTGCTATTTAACAATGCCGATCCTTTAAAACAAACAATGCAAACATACAATGATAACATGATCAATTAAAACATAAAAAAAAAATATACAAAATCGTGAGATTTCCTTTTCCTTGTCACTTTGAATGAATTCTCATCAATCCACAAATCTAGAGTCATACTGATTTAAATATACAAGGATACCTATGCAAAGTGTAATGTAAAATAACA